CGAAAACCTGTCTTTGGTCTCTTATCTCCTGCTCACTGCCTTTTACATCCTTTATAGTAACACTTCTAGAAAAAAGTATCTCTATTCATTTATTTGCCTTCTTACTTCAGTCTCTCACCACATCCCAATTAAATTTCACCAACAACTTCCCTATTGCCACACGCAAAATAATACAGAATCTCACAGCTTACATTTTAATCTTTTTTACATCTTCATCTTGTATTTTTTATTTTCCTCTCCATTTAAAAAGTATAAATTGCAATAGCATTTTTCGAAGGCACTTAGAATCCTTTCAGTATTAAGGTCAGCATAAACAAACACATTAAGTAAAGTTTAAGAAAAAACCCCATAGCATTAAAGTCAGTGGGAGAGGATGTCTACTTTTGTCTCCCTAGCTGCTTTCCAAGGTACCATCTTCCCTAATCCCTTTGACATTTCAGAGATTATCATTGACCATGTACTAGGCAAGTGACCTGTCATTTTGTCACTATGCTGAAAGGTCTTCTCTGAGATTGAGCAATCAATCAATCAATCAACCAATCAATCATTGTCTGCAGCCCTTTTCTTCCTCCTCCTCCTTTGCCCGGGGTGATAAGAATGGGCACAGCTTTTGGAACATTGGTTATATAGAGAAATCTAGTATCCATGCAAACATGAGTCATGAATTGAAACGTTTTGAATAAAACAAGAAACAATGAGTCCAAATAGATATAAATGAATGGATGAACAGTGGAAAAGAGAAAGCTCCACAAAGCCTCAAAGTACCACCTTCCAAAATATTTATTAACGAGAGGCCCGGCGCAGGAATTTGTGCATGGGTGGAGTCCGTTGGCCTGGCTGGCAATCAGGGCCAATGGGGGGGAGCGGTCTGCCAGGGATTTGGGGGGAGAGGGACTGCGGGAGGTTGGCTGGCTGGCCGGCCCTCTAACCCCCATCGGGGCTGGAGGGAGGGAGGAACTTCGGAAGGTTGGCCCCAGCAGCAAGCTAAACAACCGCCGATTCCAGGAGGAATCGGGCTCCCTCCTCCCTCCTGTCTGAGTAGGGGTGCGGGTGAACCAGGTTCAGGGCTGTCAGGGCCCCAGCAGCAAGGTCTGGGTCAGTATGCATCATAGCTACCGGCTGGTTGTTCAGTCACTTAGGCTTTTGTATGTATAGATGAGTAAAATATACATTAACTTTACAGTTAAGAAACCTGGCAGATACCTAATCTTACTAAATAATGAAAGTTAACATCATCAGTAGAATTCTGCATCACATGCCTTCTAACGTCACACACTGAAAAGAACACAGCATGGTTTAGTATTATTCATAGCACCAAAGCCTAAATCATGAGGTATCAACCAAATCTAAATTAAGAAACATTCTGCAAAGTAATAACCCACTACTCACAGATCAGTGAAAATGCTTTAGAACTGCAAACATGCATACAAACACGGATGGATTGAAGCTTGGAGGAAAGGCTAATTATAAACTGAATTTAGCCACTTTAAACACAGCTTTGGCTTGACATTCCATCCTTCTGTTTGTTATATAGTAATATATGTAATTTTTTATGCATTAAATAACCATATGGTGGCAGGTTTAAAAAAGATGATCTACTTTCAAAGAAGTGATACTGATAGCTGTAACAACTATCGGGTCTAGTAATACTTAATGTCGTTTTTAAACATTCGTTTAAAATCTTGCTTGGCGTTGACTTGTATTGACATAACCTTCAAACACATGGTATCTACAGAACGTGTGAAGTGCAATTAACAAGTTTTGCTTGAAAAAGTTTGTGTTTGATTTGATTTTTGTTGCAAAACTAGGGCTAAGAAGATGGCGGATGAAGAGCATATCCAGCACTGCATACTTCACGAGTTTCAATTAGGAAGAAAAGCAAGTGAGGCTGCAAAAAACATCTGTAGTGCTCTTGGTCCAGATGCAGTTAGCGCCAGAAAATGCCAGCGTTGGTTTGAGAAATTTCGCGAGGGAAATTTTTCGTTAGATGACAAGAGTGGTCCAATTTTGATCAAGAAGCTCTTTAAGCTCTTTTGGTACAAAATCCTCAAATTACCCAACAAGAGCTTGAGACAACTTTAAATTGTTCACAAAAAACAATTTCCAATCAATTGTGTGCACTTGGCAAAGTCCAAAAGTTTGGAAAATGGGTTCCTCATGAGTTGACCGACAACAACCGTAATCAAAGAGTCACAATTTGCAGTTTGCTCCTCTCTCGGCAAAACCGTTTGCCGTTTTTAGAGCAAATTGTTACCGGAGATGAAAAATGGGTGCTGTATGTTAATTTGAAAAGGCGGCCTCAATGGTTGGACAAAAATGAGGCTCCGCAGCCCACACCAAAACCTGACTTGCATGCGAAAAAAGTGATGTTGTGTGTTTGGTGGAATTTTAAAGGAATTCTTCATTATGAACTTTTACCATCTAACCAAACCATTACAAGTGCAGTGTATAGTGCCCAATTGGAAAGGTTAGCCCAAGCTTTAAGAGAAAAAGAACCCACAGCTGATTAATCAGAAGGGCGTAATTCTTCACCACGATAACACACGACCGCATACTGCAAGAATCACTGCTGAAAAACTGCGCCAGTTGGAATGGGAAGTTCTCCCTCAACCTGCATATTCTCCTGATATTGCCCCTTCCGATCACCATTTGTTTCGTTCTTTGCAAAACTTTCTTCTTGGAAAAAAATTTAATAATGAAGAATGCCTCAAAAATGCATTGACCGAATTTTTTGCATCAAAATCACAAGAATTTTACAACAGAGGGATTAAAATGCTTCCTGAGCATTGGGCACAAGTAGTAGAAAACAACGGCAACTATATTGTTGATTAAATTTTGTTGTTTTGTTTAAATAAATTCGATTTTAAAAAAAAGTATTAGAAACGACATTAATTATCACTAGACCTAATATAATGGAAAATACCGGAGATTTCTATTTGATGCAAAGTTGGTAATTGAAGAAAATGTTAAATATAGGTCAATGAAAACAAAAATTTAATCTTTTAAAATCTAAATTCATAGACTTCCTGGGTTCTATGCCTGGGCCCATGAAGGGTAAACTAGTTCCCTTCTGTCCTCAGATAAACATTTTTGTCATATGGCTTAAGGAGTACTTCATGATCTGACTGCCTGCCACCACTTAAGACATCTTGAACTCCATATTTTGCAGCTTATGTTCTACAGAGTGAAATCCTTACCTTTAGGCTTTGGCAATGCTAATGCCTGCAATATTCTTCCCACACTTTTTGTCTGGCAGATTCCTAATCATCTACAGGTGTCAGTTCACATTGCTTTAAGAAACCAAGACTGTGCTGAATGCACTTCCAATGTGCTCCCATTGCCTCACTTACTACCCTATCACAGCAAAGTGCAAAAATCGCTCTACCCATAAACTGGAAGCCTCAAATCCCCATTCTTTGCATGCTGCCTTAGCACACAGTAGGTACTTCAGTAATTGTGGAAGAAAAAAAAATAAAATTTCAATTTATTTGTTTTGTGACTTTGAATTCTACCGTTAATTTCTGATTGACCCTCATGAACGCAAGCTGTTGGGAAAAAGAAATGGGAAAAAGAAAAGTGTAGAATTTGATAAATATAAAACTACAATTTTTATTGGCAAAATCACTTAGTGTGATGATTGAAAATGAGGGACATTATCACTATTATAAATTCTTATCAGGAAGATTTTATCACCTTGCAATACTAAGCAAAATAACTATATTAGCACTATAAAAATAACTATACTAGACTATATAAAATAAAATAATATCAAGATATGGTTCATATCTATGTCAGAAATTCTCAACTATGCACATGCTGGTGGTAGCTATGGTGGAGGGACTGCAAGTCCCTCCTCAGAAAGTGTTACCAGAATTGATGAGATGGAGGGAGAGTTTTCAAAGTATTCAACCACTGCTGTGAGAGGAATGTGTAGTCATCTTCACTGGTGGTAAAGGATGTGTCCATAGACTTTGTAAAAAAACTGATAATAAAATGTTTTCTGTATTCCTTTAACTAGGCTGAAGGAGGGGACGGGAGGGAGCTGGGGAGAATCCAAACTATCACACTGGTGTAGTTTTTAGTGTCATGTCAGAAATTTAAAACACAAAAAAGTAATGAGACAGATGAACTGAAATCTCTCAAAAACTGCTTGTTCTGGTGACAGGGATGAATCCACTTTGGCTGGAAAGTGTGTCTGAGCAGTAACAGGTCTGAGTGTGACTAGAGGGCTCTGAATGACAAAATTTAAAAATGTGGATTTTATCCTAGGTAGATCAAGACACTAAGGGTTTCCATTGGAAAGGTTAACCAAAGCATCTTAAAATGAATTAAGGGGTCAAGAATACACAAGTAGAGAAACCAATGATGAATAAACTGCTTGACACAGCTTCTGGCTGAGCAGTGGCCCCCCTGTGGGAGAGCACTGACCACCAGGGGACAGGTCTGTCTTACCCCTGGTGGTCAGTGTGTGTCATAGCGACCCGCCTTCTGCTGTTCAGTCGATTTGCATAAGGGAATTTGACCTTTACTTTAACACATGGAGGTTTTTAGAAGAAACTTCTTTTACTTACTGCTCACAGTCTTCTCAAGTTGATCATAAAATCTGTAAATTACCAGCCAGTAAGTTCTTACGGTTAACATTTTTTACGATTAAATGAAAACCATCTATTAGGATAACTTCATCAAAGAAGCAGTCGTACAAGCTTAGGTACGCCGGGATAAGGTACCTGGACAAATCGACCTGTGGATCTGTGAACCACTTCTCTCGCCAGGGAGGAGGGGGAAGAGGCAGAGACAGATTCAGTGCTGCATTAAGACACGCCCTTCGTCATCACCACCAATTTTGTGTCATCGACGTTTGTGCGAGGAGTTGGGCACGGCGGGGCTCTTACTCAACCACATGGGGTCTTCCGCCGCCCTGCCCGAACCTTACCCACACCCCAGGTCCCAGGCCGGGCGTCGGAGGAGCTCGGCGGCCGGCGCAAAGGGCCCTTCCCTACCTGCGCTGGGACAGAGGGGCGGCCCTGTGGCGCGGCCACATGGACGAGGCCGTGGTACCAGGCCACTCCCGCTCCTGCCAGCGCGACGCCGGCCAGGGACGCCGCCAGGGGCCTGGCAGTCGCTCCGCGCCGCAGCCTTTCGCCCCAGGCCACCAGGCGAGCGCTCCGCGCAGCCGCCGCCGCCATGTTTGCGGAAGTCTCCGCGTCCCTTCGGGGGAGAGCTTTGGCCCCCGTTGGCCTCGCGAGATCTGCGGCCTCCGCCCCGCCTTCAGCGCCTGCGCCGTGGGTGCGCTGCGTAAGGTTTGGGGCGGGGAAAGGAATACCTTCTGCTGCCGGCGGCCGGCCGGGTGGAACTGCAGAAACACCGAGCAGCCAGAAAGGCCCCCAATCCGAGGCCAGAGGGAGCCCTGTGGTGGAGGAAGTGCCCCCTGTCCGTAAGCAATCACCTGTAGGTCATTGAGGGATGAGTTGTTGGCTCCGCCCTGTACAGGAAGCGGCACAATGAACTGATGGTAATTGAGAGCAACCCTGCAGTTTGCCTCATAGGAGCGCGCCCTAACTGGACCTTGTCTGAAGGGGCTGGGACGCGGAGCCCGATACCCTGCAGATTCCTGAGAGCTGCATTTGCTTTTCATGCCACACGCCTACCCTCACCAACGGTTTCTTAAAGCTATCCTGTTATTCAGGAGTCTGCAGATACTTTCGCTGAAACATGCTGTTTCAAATACCATGAATTAGCTGACCTGCCTCTAGTAAGCAGCCTTGGTATAAAGAATTGTTTCTACTTGGCTTACTTAAGCAGTTAAGTAATCTTGCTTAAATTTGATTTTTAAATTGTAAAATATAAATAACATACGATTTACCATCTTAGCCAATTTTATGTCTACAGTTCTGTGGCATTAAGTACATTCACACGGGTGTCCAACCATCACACCATCCATATCCAGAACTTTTCACATCTTGCAAAACTGGCAAAGTTAAAAAAATTAAGTGTCCTTCCTGTCTGTTTTGTTCATCTCTCCTACCGTCATATTCTTAAAAATTATTTTTATATTTTAATTATATAATTTTAATTAAATATTAATTTTATATTATTCAACATTAGTTTGCATTAATTGCATGTGTACAGCATAGACAATTGTATACTTTACAAAGTACGTGATATTTCAAGTACTCACCTGGCACCTTGAATAGTTATTACAATATTAGAGGCCTGGTACATGAAATTTGTGCTCCAATGGTCCCTCAGCCCCGCCTGCACCCCATCCAACCTGGGATTCCTCAGGGGGATGTCGGACTGCAGCTTGCAATCTGAGACTGTTGGCTCCTAACCGCTCACTTGCCTGCCTTCCTGATTGCCCCTAACCCCTCTACCTGCCTGCCTGATCCCCCCAAAACTTTCTGCCTGCCTGCTTGATTGCCCCTAACTGCTCCCCTGCTGGCTTGATCACCCCTAACTGCCTCTGCTTTGCCCTGCACCCAGGATCCAGGATTCCATCCTCCAGTTGGTCGCAGGCACCTGGGATCTGGGCTTCCCTCTCTCTGACCGGTGGCAGACACCCAGGACCTGGGCCAGCTTCCCCCTGGTCGGCCATAGCTGCAGGGGACTGTGGGTGGGTGGCTTTGCCTGGGCTGCAGCTGTAGGTGCTTGGGACTGCGGGGCAGGTGGCTTGTCCCTCTTCCCAGCCATAGCTGCAGGCACTGGCGCCCAGGACTGCGGGGTGGGTGGCTTATCCCTCTCCTGGGCTGAAGCCTGGCTGGTCCCTATTCCTCTCTTCTCAGTGTTGAATGTCTGAGCCATTATGGCGTGAGAGTGTGATGACCATTTACATATTAGCTCTTTATTATATAGGATTATTGACTATATTCCCTATGTTGTACTTTACATCCCCGGATTATTTTGTAACTGCAAATTTGTATTGCTTAATCCTTTTACCATTTTTCATCCAGCCCCCCAATTCCCCTCCCCTCTAGTGACCATCAATTTGTTCTCTGTATGTATCTATCCTCATATCCTTAACTGCTCTGTTTTTGGTAAATCATATCCTATCCCAGATATATCACTTAGATGAAGTATCCTATATAATAAAAGCCTAATATGCCAAGTGTCCGGTCATCCAGTCATCTGTTCAACCAATCAAAGTGTAATATGCTAATGATACGGTAAGGCTACTCATTATGATGTGCACTGACCACTAGTGGGCAGTCAGTCAATCGATTGACCAGTCATTATAATGTGCACTGACCACCAGGGGGCAGATGCTCTGCCCAGTAGGTTAACTTGCTGCTGGAGTCTGGCTGATTGGGATTGAGTGAGATGGACCATACACCCCATGGAGCCCTCCCATGATCCCTCCCCAACTGGCCAACCTCCCACGTCCCTCTCTAGCCCTGATTGTGCACTGGTAGGATCTCTGGGCTTGGCCTGCCCTCTCACAATCTGGGACCCCTTGGGGGATGTTGGAGAGCCGGTTTCAACCAGATCCGGCAGGCCAGGCCGAGGGAACCCACTGGTGCATGAATTTGGGTACTGGGCTTCTAGTATACTTATAAAGAACCAACAGAGCCACTTTAAAAAAAAAAAAATCTTCATTGCTCAGATTATTAAAATTGTTTCTCCTTTTTCCCCTCATAGCTCCCTTCCACCCAGTTCCCGCCCCACCCTCTGCTCTTACCTCCCCTCTCCTCCACCTTTGTCCTCATCCATAGGTGTATGATTTTAATCCAGTCTCTTTCTGCATCCCCCACACCACTTTCTTCCTGATAATTATCAATCCACTCCCTTTCTTTGCCCCTGCTTCTATTATATTCACCAGTTTAATTCTGTTCCTCAGATTTTTAATTCACTTGATCTTCTCCCTCTTAAGTAATACCTTTCAGCATTTCATATAATACTGGTTTGGTGGTGATGAACTCCTTTAACTTTTTCTTGTCTGTGAAGCTCTTTATCTCCCTTCAATTCTGAATGGTAACTTTGCTGGATATAGTAATCTTGGTTGTAGGTTCTCGCTATTCATCACTTTGAATATTTCTTGCCATTCCCTTCTGGCCTGCATAGTTTCTGTTGAGAAATCAGCTGATAGTCCTATGGGTGCTCCTTTATAGGTAACCAACTGCCTTTCTATTGCTGCTTGTAAGATCCTCTTTTTGTCTTTTGCCCTTGGCATTTTAATTATGATGTGTCTTGGTGTGTTCCTCTTTGGTTTGGGGTTCTCTGTGCTTCCTGTACTTGTAAGTCTATTTCTTTCACCAGGTGGGGAAGTTTTCTGACATTATTTCTTCAAGTAGGTTTTCAGTATCTTGCACTTTCTCTCCTTCTGGCACCCCCATAATTCTGATGTTGGTATGCTTGAAGTTATCCCAGAGGCTCCTTACACTATCTTCAACTTTCTGGATTCTCTTTTCTTCTTGCTTCTCCGTTGGTTCTTTGTGTTCCAAATCTTTGACTTGATTCTTGTGATCCTTCAGTCTGCTGTTGGATCTCTGTATAATATTTTTTATTTCAGTCAGTTTATGTTTAATTTCTAGTTGGGTCTCAATAAATTTATCGGCCTTTTCTAGGAAATTCTTGAAAAACCTTATAAACTGTGGTTTTGAACTCTATATCCAGCCCCTATGGAGCAGGTCTTGCTTCAGTGGGGCTTTGTTGCTCACTGAGTCCAATCCTTGAGTATATCACTAATGGATCTGGTAGAGTTGTATTCTGAAGCTCTCTATTGGTGCATGGGCTTTGGGGCCTCCCAGGAGGTGAAAAATCAGCCACTATTTGTTCCCTGCCTGCTTTAGAGGTGCCCAAGAGAGGCCAAGCTATAAACCTTGGCTAGCTGCTGGAAGTGTTGGGCCTGGGGCCTCTTATACAGAGGTATGGGCACAGTGAGTTCAGCTGCTTCTTCTTCTTCTTCTTTTTTTTTTTTTTTTTTTTTGTAATTCTCTTTTAAATTTATTTATTTATTTATTTATTTATTTATTTATTATTATTATTATTATTATTTATTTTATTTTTTTTACATATTTTATTGATTTTTTTTACCCCCCACCCTCCCTCCCACACATCCCCTCCCTCCCCAGAGTTTTATGTCCATTGGTTGTACTTATATGCATGTATATAAGTCCTTCGGTTGATCTATTATCTCCCCCAAATCTTCCTCCCCTCCCCACTGTAATTTGACAGTCTGCCTGTTGCTTTACTTTCTCTATCTCTGTCTCTTGGTTCATCAGTTTATAATGATCTTTATCGTCCACCAATGAGTGAGGTCATGTGGTATTTCTCTTTCATTGATTGGCTTATTTCACTCAGCATGATGTTCTCCAATTCCATCAAGATTGCTGCAAATGATGAGAATTCCTTCTTTTTTATGGCAGCATAGTATTCCGTTGTGTAGATGTACCAAAGTTTTTGGATCCAATCATCTGCTGATGGGCACCTAGGCTGTTTCCAAATTCTGGCTATTGTAGATTGTGCTGCTATGAACATAGGGGTAAAATATCCTTTCTGATTGGTGTTTCTAGTTTCTTGGGATATATTCCTAGAAGTGGGATTACTGGGTCGAATGGGAGTTCCATTTTCAGTTTTTTGAGGAAACTCCACACTGTTCTCCACAGTGGTTGCACCAGTCTGCATTCCCACCAGCAGTGCATGAGGGTTCCCTTTTCTCCACAACCTCGCCAACACTTGTTGTTTGTTGATTTGTTGATGTTGGCCATTCTGACAGGTGTGAGATGGTACCGCATTGTTGTTTTGATTTGCACCTCTTGGACAATTAGTGACTTTGAGCATGTTTTCATGTGCCTTTTGGCCTTCCTTCTGTCTTCTTTTGAAAACATTCTATTTAGGTTCATTGCCCATTTTTTAATTGGATCATTCATCTTTTATTTATTTGTATAAGCTGTCTGTAGATGTTGGAGGTTAAACCTTTATCAATGGTATTATTTGCAAATATGTCCTCCCACACTGTGGGCTTTCTTGTTGTTTTGTTGATGGTTTCTTTTGCTGTAAAAAACCTTTTTATTTTGATGTAGTCCCATTTGTTTATTTTCTCTTTAGCTTCCATTGCCCTAGGGGCAGTATCAGTGAAGAAGTTCTTTTGGCATACGTGGGAGATTTTGCTGCCTGCAGCTGCTGCTTCTTTGAGAAATTTTAGGAAATCTGAAGCCTGAGCCAGGACAGACCATTTATAGTTTGAGTA